GGGGCCGGGACCGGGGCCAGGGCCGGGAGCCTGGCGCCTCCCCCGCGCCGAGAGCCTCGGAAGCCATACGTACCTACGTGCCGATGTCCATACGCCCTTCGCGTATTTTCCACCTTCTCCTATCTTGTAACATCTTAATGTGGTTTAAAACTTTATACATTTCGTCTTCGGTATATTTACCTCCCTCTCTCAGCTATTTTTATTACTTACATGCGTGAAACTAAACGCGCGTGCTTAGGTGCTGCGTGCGTGTAAGTCCTAAGGTGCCTCTCTGCCCGCGAACTACCGCCGGGCAGGACCAAACACGTCGCCCGGGGAATGGGCCAAAGGCAGCGAAGGCAGCTCCCACAGCTCCAGTGGGAGGGTGGCTGCAGGAAATGCCCGGCCATTCCCGTTATCTGCCCCTTATCTCCTTCTGCCTACCCGGGAGGTGTGGCAGGAATTTTAACCTTTCACAGGGGGACCCTTCAGCCAGGGCAAGCGTGCCCATTTGGCTGGAGCATCTAGAGCGTGGACTGAGTCAAACTGTGCAAGGCATGCCGGCGCGGAACTTTTGGAAACGCTTGAACTCATTTTGGCCATGCTGGCTTTTTTTGCTTTAATGAAATCGGCACTGTTTTCTCATGTGAGGAAGACCAGAGAGGGACCTGATTCTGCATCGAGAGGTGCTGATTGACAGGAGAGCATGGAGAAGACCGTGGGGCACAAGAGAGATGAGAGAGGATACAGTGAATGAACTTGGGTGTCCCCATTTGGACTCTCCCTTAAAAAAACCCCACCAAACAAAAAACCTAGATACTGCTAATTCATTTTCTAAGAACAGAGCCTCAGGAAAGAAGCAGGGTACCACTGTTGGGTTGGTTTTTTTTTATCTAATGTCCCGTTCTGTCAGTAGCGGAAAGGCAACTGTAGTAATTTTGCCCGGCAGAGAGATATTTGCGCTGAAACGCAAGTGGGCAAGCGCGGTTTTCAACAGCAGCGATCCGTCTCTGCCTGGTTCCCTGAGCACGGCAGAGGGGACCCATGGTGGCAATCGTCTTCTGTAACGTGAGCTCTCCCTTACCGGGTCTGTGGCATTAGGCATAAGAATAAAGCACACCACTAACGGTATGTTTGACTGGTATCAAATTAAAAGGTGGCCGAAGGGATTAAAACAGCCAGACCAGATGAGCAAAATGCTCCAGTCAGGCATGGTATTTGCCTGCTGATAACCATCGGGGGCAGATACAGCAGGGATGGGAACTCCTGCCTCCCCCTCTTTCCATTCGTGATAGCGCGTGTACACGTCTCGGAGAGGGGGTTCCTTCCACTGCCAGGCGGCTCACGGGCTGTTCCCTGCAGGAAGCCAAACTTTTCCTTTACCTAACCCAAGTGAAAATACTGACTGTTCCTAAAATCGCCAAAGCTTGGTAGGAGACTACATTTCCTTAATAATGTATTTTCAGCAATATATTCTGTATATTTTTAGTATATTCTGTAAGTTAGTCTTGTTTGTAGCTCTGTAATTTTTAATTTTGTAACCTTATGAGTTGTCCTTTTCTCCTTGTGTCATGAAAATGTCTGTTCCTTAGCAGTTTCCAGAGAACCTTTTTGTGCTGATCACTGTTAAACAGGGATCAGTCTTGCTGATGTGTGAATATATATATATGTGTGTGTGTGTAGCTTATTTCAGAGTGAAATAAAAGCAATTTTCAACTGTTGTTCCTCGTCTAAAAGCTTCTAAGCCTTTGGTTATTGTTGTGTCCTTTTGCATTTTGGGGTTTTGTTTACTCTCTTATATGGTTGTCCATGTGACTTCTCAGAAGTACAAAGTATACTTGCACGCTCCAGTGGAAGTTGCTCCTTAATGCCTTAGAAAGTCAGTTTGATAATCTAGGACAAAGCGTAGCATTCAAGGGAAGGAAGAATTCGAATTAACACAATAGCATTAAAATACTTCTGCCGTTACTCTAGACGGTGCCGTATGGGACTGCACATAGAAGAAATACTTTGCACTGATCTGTCTATAATAATGTTTAAAGTTTGGGGAGGGCTTGAACGGGGTTAATTAATCCAAACTCTGCTGCATTGAGCTACGCTGATTCATCAGTCACCAGGTTGTTCAAAATGTAGTAAGCTGTGAACAAACAGCACTTGCCCGTGAGTTAGCTCCAGGTCAGGGGATTTGCCTTTTAGTACTTTAAAATGTCTAAGTAGTATTACTGAGACTCTAAGGTATAATTTCTAGATAGAGATTAATTTATTTCCTGCATAGCATCTTTGTAATACTGCAGTTTACTGTTCTTGAATCCTTTTATTGCTTTTCGTCTTTTCACTGTACAGGTTAATTCTTTTTTTCCTGTCATTTATACTATAAACCAGATGGCTGCATCCTGACTTACAAAACCATCCTAAGGTGGGATTTCAGAAATTCGCAGTGTTTATCCAACTTTTTCTCCTGTCTGAGCAATGGACATTACTACCCTATGTTTCTGTGGGAGCAGAGGGGCCAGTAAAAAATCCTCTCAGGCTGTCCACACATGAAAATTACTCCTGGTTACAGTCGAGGGTAAGTTTATAGCCAGGGATTCAATCCAGGATCATTCCACGTATCAAACTCTGTTTTCTAGTATATTTTCAGTATAGCAACTCACAGACCCGTTCCAGGACGTTTCTTCTAGGATTGCTCTGCCAGCAAGCAAGCCTATGGCCGCTTTTGCTCCTGATAAACCTGGGAGATTTGCAGACAGGAGGCTGTTCTCAGGAGCGTTGGGTGACACCAGCATGGAAATGCTACTGCCACTGAAGAATTCAAGACTGCAGAGCCATCATGGTCAAAGCTTGTCCCCGCTCTTCTGTCAGCCATCAGGCGCATCTCTGCACGGAGCCCCACCATGGGCCAAGGTAAAACCCAGTGCTGCTGGCAGCAGCAGGAGACCTTGCTTACTGAATGCTGTGAGTCAACTAAATGGCTATATTAATGGCATTCCTAGGTGGAAGAATAAGGTTTTTAATACAGTAAGAGAAGTACTAGGGCTGCAGTATGTTCCACTCTTGAGTTATTTCTGTGTTTGGTTTGACTTTTTTTTCTTTCTAATAATCTCCACTCTTCTACGGTAGTAATACAAAATGCTTATTCAGAGATTATGACTTCAGATTGTGCTGTTGATAATAAGAGAAGGAATACAGCTAAAAATATGGTGTTCTTCTGTAAAAGCATTAATTTGTGTGTGGAAGAAAATGCCAATTGTTGGTAGACCATTCAAGTGGGGTCATGGCAATGACTAAACAAATAACTTCAAATGTCTTGAGTGAGGTGGAAAGCTGACATCCAGTTCCCCTGACATACTTTTGGTTGAATCCCTCAAAGCTTGGAATGAGGGATCTTGAGTTCCTACAGATCTTGTAAAAAGTGGAGATGAGTTCTTTGTAGTCCATCAAGATCTGAACACTTCACCCATGCTAGAGCTCATTTCTTTCAAGGATCTTTATATTGAGAATTCACTGTCATTGCAAGGTCTGTAAAGGTTTACGTGCCTCTCCTTTACATTTTCTGGAGTATTCATGGTACAAAGCATTAGTAGTATCATTTTCAACAGTCTTCATCAAAAATCCCAAGCTTCAAAAACTGGCATTTTTTTTTTTTGCCCATGTGTTTTAAAATAAATGGTCACCACTGGCTCCACTAAGAGCTTGAATGTGTGAATGTTAAACCAAGCTGCCCTGTCCTGTATTTGAAGTGAACAGGTTGAACAGATCATTAATACCCTGTGTTCATGTTTCTCATAAGCAAACATTGCTTTGAGAAGCTGCACGTCACCAAAGAGCACTGGTGCACTTGGCTGACAGCTCTTTTGTGGCTTTGCAAGTTCTTTGGTTCTCTTTTGGTTGTTTGCCAGGGAACTGCAGAGTTGTTTGGGGATTTTTTGGTGAAAAGCTTTGGGGATTGCTCATTTTTCTTCCCTAAAGGCAGATTTGCATCATTTTTAAACAAGACTAGGATGTGTAGTAATAGGCTTACTTTTTTTTTCTTGGGTGTATTATGTGCAAATACTGTGAATTTCCATGCCTTAAGCTAAATCAGAGGTTTAGAGGAAAAATTCTGAACTAGCTGTAAATTCTGTCCTCATTTTCAGCTTTATCTGCTTAATCTTGAGAAGAGAAATCATGCCGTGGTCTTCTCTAGTCAACTTCCAGGTTGCCAGGTGTGCAGTCCGAGGTGAAAGAGGTCCTGGAGATAATTGTTCTTGGGGAATATCCGCATGTACAGGTCACTTTACACAGACACATCTCCTTCAAATCAAAACGATTCCAGGCATTTTAACTCCGGAATGGGAATATTGTAACATTCGCCAGTGAACCTAGATTTGCACTAGGAGCACTTTGCACGGCATCAGAAGGTGATTCCACAGACTTTTGTCATGAAAGAAGGGTTGCTCTTGCTTTGTCTCCATCGTGACGCAGTGGGCCTGGTGTGGTGGCTGGCACCTCCTCGTAGGGCTGCGTGAGGCACCGGGGCAGAGAACTGGCTGAGTTAGAAATACCCCGATGGCCTTTTGTCTTTCACAGGCACGATACCTGCACGCTAACTATACTTGGCTTGTTTGTGGTCATCACCCACCACGTCAACACCCTGTTTTGATGAGGATCCCATTTTATGAGTTTTCTGATTTAAATTATTGTTAGGCTGTGCTTCGATAGAAAAGTCTCTGTCCTCTGTCAAAAATAAATTGACTGTAAATTCCACTTGTGTTTAAGGAACTTCTTGGTTCCCTTTGAGCTTTCTTCTAAGCATGAAAGATGAAAACTCAAAGATGTTGTGTGACAGAGGAGAAGAGGGAGGTTTTTCAGTCACCAGGAAGATGATGAAGCTGAAAAGAGAACACAGTGAGGAGCCTGAGAATATAGGAGGTATGGAATGGTATAAATGTTTATCTTTATTGTTTGTTCTTTTTAACATAGTATGTTAGATGTAGATTGTGTTTTACAAAGCATCCAAAAGGCAAGTTCTGTCTCTGAGGAGCTTGCTCAGTGCCCGAGGGGTGTCAATATTTATCCATAAAGTAATCACTTGTGAATGCAAGTTCGGTTCAGTAACCATGGGATCTATTTCACTCTTACATAGAAGTCTGATGTGTTGCTCAATGAGACACCTATAGCTCTAAATGTGTTTACCCTCATCCATGCCCATAATCTCTTCATCGGACTATTGTCTCGCTCAGCCTGACATTTAGCCCTGCATCCTCATTCTGCTTTTCCTGGTGATTGCCTTTCTGTGATGTCGTAAATTACCTACACATAACCCAAGTCACTTCACAATATTTTTATATTTTTTCCTGGATAGCAGCCGTTTCTTTCTGCACCGAGAACAGAAGTTGGGCGGCATCAGCAGTTATTTTTGCCGCTGTGTGCAAAATGACGCAAGAGAGAGTACTTCTCAGGCTTCGGAGAACTTTATTTCTACACCAGAGCTTAGAACAGGGAAATAATAGCTGAACGTGGGTACATGTAATTTATATCCCATCTGAGCATAATGACACACGTAGACTGTCCGGGTGGAGGGCTCTCTTTTACATATGCTATAATGTGGTCGTACTGCTTAA